TACAAATAAGGTAGGAAATGTGCATACTTTTAAATCAACACCTGCCACGGTGTTTCTTATTTGTCATCTGTGATCCCTTTTGAGTGTCCTAAAAGCCGATGGGGGGGTCTTATCACTCAGCATACCCGGTTAAAAAAAGTCACCGCTCGCCACTGATATATATATATATATGTGTGTGTGTGTGTGCGTGTGTGTGTGTGTGTGTGTACACGTATGAGTCCCTCAGTTGTCCTCCGTGTGAAAAGATGGAACTCAAAATCATACAGTCATTTTTTATAAAGTCAAGTATTATTTTCTTTTGTGGACTATATGTAAACGTCTTTTATGTGAAATATCTTATTCAGGTCAGTACTAAATAAAAAATAACATACATTTTGCATGCTCCCTCTTATTTTGGTAAAATATTTAACATTTTGCAGATACTGTAAAGTGTATGTAAAATTTTGACCACAACTATATATATATATATATACAGGGCCTAAAACTAACTTTTTGCCAGATCTGCCAATGGCCGGTGACTTAAGGAAATTTACTATCCAGAAATATTTTTTTACCAGCCATGGAAAAAAAAAAAACAGGAAGTTATGACACCGAAATTTTAGATAATAGCAAAAAATCACACTCCTTGATTCCAGTTTCGATACCTGCTAAAGCTACTAGCTTAACCAAAATAAATTTAATAGGCTACATTTTTAAATACTAGTAAATAGTCAGTTGTAAAATATGAGCAAATCAAATTACAAGCAATAGCACAAAATAGCCTACTATACAACAAATAAACAAATGGAAACAAATGGAAATGGTGCATTTCAGGCAGGTCTAACAGTGATTTTCAGGTAGCCTACAGAAATAAAAAAAAACCAGGAAGTTATGACACCGAAATTTTAGATAATAGCAAAAAATCACACTCCTTGATTCCAGTTTCGATACCTGCTAAAGCTACTAGCTTAACCAAAATAAATTTAATAGGCTACATTTTTAAATACTAGTAAATAGTCAGTTGTAAAATATGAGCAAATCAAATTACAAGCAATAGCACAAAATAGCCTACTATACAACAAATAAACAAATGGAAACAAATGGAAATGGTGCATTTCAGGCAGGTCTAACAGTGATTTTCAGGTAGCCTACAGAAATGTAATTAATTATGTTAATCAAATAACACAAGTCTTCATATCTTTTTTAAAGTTCAAGAACAGTGAGTAATTGGTTTATTCCTTTGTCCTTTTTTCTTTGATCAACATTAAAAACGCAGACAACAGCAGGATTATTGGGATTCTGT